TAGCCTTTGTAGATGGCCTTGATAATTTATTAATTCTTCCCCTTGCCTAGAAGAGACACTTTTTGGTATTGCTCTTGCATCAGTTACTTTCTGTATGCGTGCATCAGTCACAGGATATATTAGTTTAATCAGTTCTGTGCACTTCTAGCATAACTTTGGAACAGTTTATTGCCCCACAGGCAAGTAGCCATTCATTTTTCCTAGAGGTTTTTGACCTCGTAAGATAGTCAAAGAGGGTCTGGAGAGATGGGTCAGTGATTAAGAGCACTGACTGCTCTTGCAGAGGACTGGGTTTGATTCCCAGCATCCACATGGTGGCTATAAACTGTCCTTAACTCCAGTTCCAGGGGAATCCAGTACCATCTTCTGACCTCTGCGGCACTGCATGACACGGGTGCACTCACATGCATGCAGGCAATACACTCATACACATAAAAAAAAGAAAAAATAGATAATCATAGAAAAAGCATGGATGACAGCCACCAACAATAACGATGGTGCAGCTTTAGTTCCAACAGCCTCCAAAGGTGGCTTCAACAAAGATGCAAAATCTGGAGAGAAGTGTGTAGAACAGGTTCCTGTGGTGGATGGGCAAAGTGACAACTTCAAGGAGATATGGCCTTCCCTCTTGCTTACCTTAAAGACAGCTAGATTTGTGACTATGTTACAAGGTCGTGTGTCATGCTGACAGGACCCATTCTGTCCTGTCCATGGCCTCACTTGCTTCACGCAGCAGCCCGATAAGGGTGAAAATTCCTACCTGACACAGGTGTTCAATCTCACCCTATTGTGCACAGAGGACTATGTTATAGAACCGGTCTATGCAGCTCCTGGTACAGCATGGCTTCAACTTCAACCAGCAGTATGCCCAGGGTATCCCCTACCATAAGGGGAATAACGAGGGTGATAAGAGCCTGAGCCAGTCTGTATGGATGCTGTTCTTTGAGCTAATTAGGGTCATTTGGGCCCTGGTGCTACATAATAGCCTTATAAATTTGGTGTTCCTGTATCAGAACCTCTACATACACTTTCCTGAGAACCTGGGAATCTTATGGCTGATGTGTGTGAGATGTTCCCAGTAGGCATTTATGACACCAAATATGCTACAGAGTTTCATGCCCACTTCATAGCTTCCTACTTAGAATATGCTTTCTAAAAATGGCACTGTTTTTAGGTGCTGAGGATTCAGCAGTGAACAAAACACAAAACCTGTAATCATGGAATTTATATGCTAGTGGAGCAATATCCTCATGCGCTGTTGCAGTGAGAGGGGAAATGGGAAGCAGCTGGCTGCCGGCAGCTCACATCTTACCCTGGAGTTCTGCAGCTATCCATCTAGCATGAGGGCCCATATCAACTACTGCTGCTGTATATCCCCTGCCACCTACTGCCCTCATACCACCAGCACCTGTGACAACTTCTCGGCTTATGACTGGTGCCCTCTGGGACCACAGTCCCATATTGACTTTATCACTGACACTGACAAGACAAGAGGCAACGGCGTCAACATAAGGAAAAATGGACTTTGGAGGAGGGCTTTGCTGAGCCAACCTGGGACACAGACCTCTGGAGAAGCCAAAGATGGTCTTCCCACTAAGCAGGTCTGTGGAGATAGCCTCATCACTGAAAAAAGTGAGCAAAAAAGTGCCAGAGGATAAAATTAAGGATCAGCCTGACTCTGAGCAAGGTCACAAAATGACTTAGAGATGGGGCCCAATGCAACAAGTCTTAAAACAGCTGACCTGGTTACCTCAGACCTGCCAGGGAGTCAAGCCAAACCTAACTCAGTGCTTGGGGATGGATTTCACTGGGCTGGTTTTGATGCCTTTATAATAGGTTATGTGATGACCTGTGTGGGAATGAGCCAGGGATCCCAACTCTGCAGTTCTGGACCCTGGCTTCCTGAATGTCAAGGTATATTTAAATGGCAAAGCTGTGCCCCTCGAAGTGGCCAACCCAGTTCTCCCATTCCTCCAAAGCCCACAACTAGAAGATGAAGCTGGTTTGGGGCAACAGCTGACCCCACATCAACCTGGCACTAGGCCCAGGAAGAGAAGCTTAGAAGAGAGATGTTTGGCCAGGCGTGGTAGCTCACACCTGTCATCCCAGTACTATGAAGGCTGAGGTAGGAGGATTGCCACAACTTTAAGGCCAACCTGGGCTACATGGTGAGATCTAGGTCAGCCAGAGGTACATAGCAAGACCCTATTTCAAAGAAAAAAAAAAAGTTGTTTTGGGTCTCTAGCCTGTGAATGTCACATTGTCAACTACTACAGAGTTGGCGAATGGGTCCTGCAGAAAGACTTCACTGTTCCAGACTCTTTTACAAACCAGGGAACCTGGTTACAAGGGTACAAATAAAACTGACCAGCACTGCAACATCAGCTTTATTTTTTAATCTGAAAGTATGGTGGGAAGTTTTACCAAAAAATCAACAGAAATGAATTATGAATATATATTTTTAAAAATTAAAGAAAAAACACGGAATCTGAAGCCTGGTGGATGTCAGTTTGCATCTACCAAGTGACTTCACTGAGCCTCTGCTTTGTCATTTTGAAGACAGGAATGATACCTACCTACCTTTCTTAGAAAATATTTCATTGTTTTTATTTTATGTGTATGAGTTTATCGCCTGCATGTATGTAAGTGCACCCATGTCATGCAATTCCCATGGCAGTCAGAAGAGGGCATCAAATCCCCTGGAACTGGAGTTAAGAATGGTTGTTAGCCGCTGTATGTGTGCTGGGAACCAACCCTGGGTCCTCTGCAAGAGCAGCCAGTGCTCTTAACCACTGAGCCATCTTTCCAGCCCCAACTGCCTACCTTGAAGCACAGCTCTGGGTGATAAAGATGATGGAATAATCATTTTCTAAGTACTTGCTTCAGACACTGAGTGAATTATCTAACATTCACGTCTCATTTAAACTTCACAAATGCAAGTAGTAAAAACTACTTGCAAACCAAGTACTAAAACATGTATTTATCTCCTGTTTGTATAATTTGTTTTAAATTTAATTTTTACTATGAAATCGTCCAATCACATGCAAAACTACTCTAGCAAACTTAATCCCCATGGATCCATTTCTCAAGTTCAAAAATTACCAGGCTTTTTCCAGGGCTGGAGAGATGGCACAGTGGTTAAGAGCTGACTACTCTTGCAGAGGGCCCAGGTTCGATTCCCAGCACCCACATGGTGGCTATGAACCATCCTTAACTCCAGTTCCAGGGGAATCCGACACCCTGTTCTGACCTCCACAGCATTGCATGACACGGGTGCACTCACATACATGCAGGCAATACACTCATACACATCAAATAAAAATAATAATTTTTTTTAATTACCAGGCTTTTTCCATATTTGCTTTATCTGTCCATTAGAGGGGTGTGGGGGAGAGCAGCAGTGTTTTAAAGCACATCCTTAGTGTTTCATTTTGTCCCTATAGTTCATTGTACATCTCTGAGACATGAACATTTTCTTCTATGACCAAATGCCATTGTCAGATCTAACAGAATGACTATTAGGACTCTGATATTATCAAATTTCCCTTATGCAAATAATGTGAGAAAGGGCCACATATTGCATTAGGGTTTTTGTTTAATATGAGCTGCTTAATAGATGTTTGTCATGTTAAATCGCATTTGATGCCTTCCACCCTGTGAAAGCTTTTTAAAACTTTAAATTTTGTCAGGCATGGTGGCACTTGCCTTTAATCTTAGAATTCAGGAAGCAGAGGTAGGCGGACCTCTGAGATCAAGGCCAACCTGGTCTACATCATGAGTTCCAGGCTAGCTAGGGAGACCCTGTGGAAAAAAAAAGCAAAAAAATAATAATAAATTTTTATTATTAATTTTTAATGGAATTTTTGAAAATTCCACATAATATGTTTTCATCATATTTAGATCTCCTCCCTCCCAAATTTGCAATTCTCCTTGCAAGCCCCCACCAAATTTCTGTACTCTAACATATATCTATAAAGGCCTATAGAATCTCCCCTTCCCAGCAGTCATCTGTTGCCAGTAGTTCCTCATTTGGGGTTAGGGTTTCTTGCCTGCTTCCCCACATTTATGCTGGGATTTTGTCTGGCTTGAGCTTGTGTGGGACTTATCTATGCTGTCAGCATTGCTGTGAGTTCATATGAGTAAGTGAGCAGCTATCTGGAAAACTCTTGTTTCCTTGTGATCATCCACCTCTGGCTCTTACAATCTTTCCACCCTCTCTTCTGAAATGATCCCTGAGTCTTGGCAGGCGGAAATTTGAAATAGGTGTCCTATTCAGGGATAAGCACTCTGCAGCCTCTTATTCTCTACATGTTGGCCAGTTGAGGGTCTCTGTGTTAATCACCATCTGCTGTATAAGGAAGCTTCTCTGCTGAGAGTTGAGATATGCATTAATCAATGGGTATAACAATAAGTCATTAGAAATCAGTTTAATACTATATCTATTTAGCAGACTAGTTATATTAGACTTTCTCCCATAGCCTGTGGTTACTCCTATTTGTGCCACTATTGTACCAGTGGGCATATCTTCCAGGCCAGTTGTAGCTCTTAGGATTCACAGCTGGGTAAGACTTAATGCTAAATTCTCTCTTCAGGTAGTTCGTATAGCACTTTCTAGCACTATGAAAGCTAGACAGTTGATATGAGGCTTTGAAGTCAGCACCAGTTTGATTTCTTGTTTGTCCTACAGTTTATGAAGCTTTTTTAAATTGACACATATTTGGACATATGTATGATGTACAGTACAATAACATGATAGGTATAGATATATATCAAATCAGAGTAATTAAAATTTCCATTTCCTCAAATATTAATCACTCTATGTGTTGGGAACCTTCAGACTCTTAGTTATTTTGGAAACACAAACATATTTCTTATTGCTATTTGGATTTTTTTCCTCTTAAGATTTTTATTCCCTTTTAAGTCAGTAGGGAAATGTTGAAAATCATGTCAAGGTTATAGAAACTAACTTTCTTCCCTGTGTCTGTACTTGTCTTTGAAAGCCAGGTAAAGAGAAGAAAGGAAAAGGTCGGGCCAATTCTCATGGGAAAAACCCAAAGAAGCTGAGGCCAGAAGTAGACATCCTCAGCCCAGATGCTATGCTGAACCTCTACTACATCGCCCACAATGTCGCCGACTGCCTGTACCTGCGAGGCTTCCCCTGGCCAGGCACTCCCAAAGGGAAAAAAGGGAAGAACAAAATTTAAGTGATAGATGTCAAAGCATGTCTTGGTTTCAGAGAACAGAACTTGGGGAAACATTGGGGATAACTCAATGACTGCAGAAAATAGACTTTAAGGAAGATAATCAGAAACACACACCCCGTGTGCTTTTTCTGTGGTAAATAATGACAAAGAAATGCATTTTTATATCCATAACTAAGCCAGTTATTCAGTAAGCCAATTTAGTTTTTCAGAAGTTATGAAGGAAAAACAAGCCCAAGTGATTCTTACATGCTGTGCTGGAATTGATAGTACTTTAAAAACTATAATCATAATTCTGGACCTGAATTAAACCTTGTTCTTAGAATGCAGTTCCAGCTTGCATGAGTTTTCTTTTGTGAGAGGGAGTTTGTTATTTAGAGAAGACATGACAAAAAAACAACAACAACAACAAAAAAAAAAGGCCTTACTTGTGAACACCTCTCTCAGGCATTGTTATTTTTGTCTTGGTTTGGTTTTATTTTATGCTTGTCAATATTGGGGATGATCCTGAGGGCCTTTATCACCATGTAGGAACTTCTCTGCCATTAAGCTACAACCCTAGTCCTTCCCTTTTTAAAAAAATGTAAAATAAATAATTTGGTTTTATAACTTTCTGCTTGGCAGTCTCTGTCTAGTTTGAATTAATCACAGGCTCCAGGAAAGACCAAAATTGTTACAAGCACTCTAATCTTGCCAAGTATGTAAGCACGTGATTTAAAAGCTCTGGGCTGTGAAGATGGCTTAGTGGGTATAGAGTTTGCCATGCAACCATGTGGACCTGAGTTTGAGCTCTGTGCCCACATAAAATCCAGGCACTGTAGTGTACACCTACAATCCCAGGGACAAGGAGGTAGAGACAAAAGGATCCTTGGGACTTGCTGGCCAGCCAGTCTAGCTGAATCAGTGAGCTCCAAATTCAGTGAGAGACCCTGTGGAGAGCAATTGAGGAAGACACCAGTGTCATCCTTTGGCCTGTATACATACATGTGTATACACACATGTACACATATCTGCACACAAATATGCACACACAAGGGCATATACATAGAAAGATTTGACTGTATGGTGGATCAGAAAGAAGGGTATGTAAGCTTCCTATTGTTACAAAATACCTGAGGAAAACAGCTTGACAGAGGAAGGTGTATTTGGGCTCACAGCTTCACAGGCTGGCTCTGTTACTTTGAGCATGAGACAAAGCAAAATATCATGGCAGTGTGAGCCTGTGGCAGAGGAGGCAGACACTGGGTAGTAGCCAGGAAGTAAAAAGAAAGCAAAAGAGAGACAGTAAGAGGCCAGGGGCAAGAAATATCCTTTGAAAAGAGGACTCCAATGACCTGCTTCCTCCAACTAGGCCCTACCTCCTACAGTTTCTACTAACCTCCCAATTCAGCCACGAATCCATCAGCATGGTCTAATCCATTGATGAGATTACAGCCCTCATGGTACCGTCATCTCTGAATACTACTGCACTGGCAATTAAGCCGTCAATACATGAATCATTATGGAACATTCCAGATCTAACCATACTCTATCATTAGCTCCCAAAGGCTCATCACGTAAGGCAAAAGACATTCAGTCTATTTCCAAAACATTCTCAACAGCTCCAGGATTGCACAAAAGTTTATGTCCAAAGTCTCTGAGGCTTGAGAAAAGCTGTTAGCTATGAGCCATTGTAAAATATAAAAAGCAAGTTACGTTTTTCCAAAGGCCTCAACTCCCCAACCATGAGACTTGGAAAACAGCAATTTCAAGTGTAGATGGCGTCTCTGAATCTCTATCCCTGCCTCCTGCTCTGCCACACTGCTTCCCCGACCCCACCACGCTGACATCTGTACTGTTTTCCCCATTCACAGTTCTATGCTCAAAGCCAGTTCACTCTAGGCCACATCACAGTAGCCCAGAGATATTCTTCTTTGAGTTATGTATAATTATGATGCATGTTACCCTATGGGGATCACAGAGATTCATGAAGCTTGCCAAAGCTGAGCCCAGGACAGATGTCAGAAAGGGGAAAAAAGGAAATTAGATGATTGTAGTAGAAAAGTTGGATGCTAATAACCCATGTGAATTGGTTGAAAGTGCCATCTGTTTACCTGTACCATCTGTGCCATATGTTGTGTAAGCACTAGGCCAGTTGCCAAGGGAATCCTCATTTGGAGAAGTCAAAGAGAGACCATGTCTTTTCCCTGACTATGGGCTTTGCAATCAGGGGTTATCTTCCCAGGGTGTTGGAGACTGCGGAACTCACTCCATCTCAGAGCTTTTCACTTACCTGAAGACTTGTTGAAGCACACACTGCTGGGTCCTTACCCCAGGGAAGGGCTAGAGAATGTGCAGCTCAGCTCCCAGGTTATGCTGATGAAGCTCCAGCTAGTGCCACCTAACTAAAAAGGTTTAAGTGCTAAAAGGTTTGTTGAGTCTTTGAACTTGTGAGATGCATAATGTCCTTCCCTGCCTCACTTGGGCCCAGGTGTTTGAATTAGAGCATGTGATAGCTAATCTTGGTTGGCAATTTGACTGGGTCTGGGATTGACTGAAATGAGAGAGACTTTCTGATTGGATAATTTGAAGCTGGAAGACCCATCCTAAATGTGGGTGTTACCTTCTGATGGCAGCCATATAAAAGGCCAAGGCAGAAGGGAGCTCTCGCTTTTTGTCGCTTGCTTCTCTCCCACTGGTGAGTTCATCTTATTGCTGTGGCATTCCTTCGCTGAGAGTAAAACTTCTTTTGAATTCTAACATAGACTGAAGACTAGCAGATCTCCAGGAATCCTTCAGCAGCACTTCAGCACCAGATTGGAACTGCTAAGATATCCAGCTTTGTGGACTGAGCAACTACCGGATTCTCAGCCTCTCCAGTGTGGTGCAGCCATTGTTGGACTACCCAGACTCTATTCTGTAAGCCAGTCTAATAAATCCCCATATATAGAGAGGTATATGAATATCTATAGATATATGAATATATATGGGGATATATAATATATATATTCATTTTATCAGTTCTGTTTCTTTAGAGAACCCTGATGTAGAGCAGTTGTATATTCTGGAGCATTGGAGAGATGGTGCTTATAGAACTTCCACCTGATGTTATCCACAGCACAGACAGCATTATTTTGGGGATTACAGAGAGTGCCAGTTGGCAGACACTCAGAGTCTGAGATCATCTGGAAGCTTGCTTTGTTTGATGGACCCAAAAGATGTGAGCATTGGAATAGAAGAGATTGCCATCTGACTGGATGGGCTGTACACTCATTTAAACCCAGTTTCTAGCTGACTGTCAAAACTGTCCTGTTGTGTTCTTTGGAGTCTCGGGGTTCTGAAAGAAACTGGTAGGACTTTCAGATTCAGATAGCTATGCTGTAGTATTACCAGTTATAACTCAAAATCTTTTTTGAGTTTTTTTTAATA